CTTCAACAGCAAGCACACCCGATGGAACTCGACACGTACCAACTGTCGAGGCACCGCACTCGACTCGCTATCCGACAGGCTCGACTTTGAAGTCGCTGCCCCCGTCGAACATACGCGCTTTCCTTACGTAGAGGGACACACATCGGATGTGCTTGACATTGCACTCGTCAAAAACATCAGTCTCTCCTTATGCGAACCGGAAGTGATACACGAGCTTCACTCCGATCACCGACCAGTTCTCCTCCGGCTAGGGCCTTCAGCAACAGCCGCTCCCCTAACCAAAACTGTCATCAGCTGGCATAAAATCAAATCTAAATTTAACGAACCTAATCCTCCACAACTAGAGTCAATCCCTAGAGAATTGAATACCAAACAGGACACGGAAACCGCAATTCGAGCCCTCACAAGCCACGTTAACACCGTCGTCGAGCAATGCTCGAGACAGGTCCCGGCGATGGAAGACCATCGCTGGGCCCTGCCAGACGATGTGCGAGACTTGCTGAGACGCAAGAATGCGAGAGCCTATGATAGATATCCCACCGACTCGAATCGTAGACTGCTACGTAAATTGCAGCGTGAGGTCAAAACACGCATAGCAGACTCACGAAACGAACGATGGGACTCCACCCTAACCTCAGTAAAACCATCCCACGTAGCCTTCTGGAAACTTCCCAAATCCCTCAAGGGTAACGGCATAACAACCATGCCGCCACTAGTCCGTCCGATAGGTACTCCAGCAATGCTGGACGAAGAGAAGGCCGAATGCCTGGCTGACAGCCTAGAGTCTCAATGCTCCCCCAGTCTGCTTCCGATCGACCCCGAACACCTCCGCAAGGTGAACGAAGAGGTAGAAAGGAAAGCCTTAGAGCCACTTCGCGATCCCGTTCCCCCAGTCACGTGCTCCGAACTAATAGACACCATTAATAAACTACGCCCGCGTAAAGCACCAGGCTCAGATGGTATCACCAATAAGGTGACCAAGCTCCTCCCTACTAGCATCCTTCAGATACTAGTATTAATTTACAACGCGACCTTAACCGAAGGCTTCTTCCCATCCGAGTGGAAGGAAGCCGATGTCATAGGGTTCCTCAAATCCTCCAAACCCGCCACTCTCCCAACCTCATATCGTCCAATAAGTCTTCTCAAAACATTTGGGAAGATCTTTGAAAGACTAATATTAGCCCGCTTATAGATCCCTTATGGACACCAAAGGGCTCCCCATCCCAGAGCAGTTTGGATTTAGAGCCAAACACTCATGTACCCATCAAGTGCACCGCATCACGGAGCACATTTTAACTAAACGTCAACGTGGACTCAACACCGGTGCACTCTTCCTGGACGTGGCAAAAGCGTTCGACAAAGTCTGGCACAACGGGCTCGTATACAAGCTATACGGGTACGGAGTGTCCGACCGTCTCGTATGCATAATACGAGACTTCCTAAGTAATCGAACCTTTCGCTATCGCGTCGAGGGCGTGTGTTCGACTACGCATCCCGTTCGAGCCGGGGTGCCCCAAGGGTCGGTGTTGGGACCAGTCTTGTTCACTCTCTACACCAATGACATGCCGCGTGTCAAAGATGTAGAACTTGCTCTTTTTGCCGACGATACCTGTATCTATACCACAGGCAGAACACCCGAATTGATCCATCGACGCCTCCAAGCTGCGGCCATCACCATCGGTGACTGGTTTCGGCAATGGAGGATCGAAATCAATCCCGCCAAAAGCGCGGCAGTCCTTTTCGCGCACAAAAAAAACATACCCATTCCACCCTCAATAAAACGTCAAAAATGTCCCTTCGGAACAAGGTGACCTTATATAAGGCAGTAGTTCGCCCTATCATGACGTACGCGAGCCCCGTCTTCGCTCACATTGCTCCGAAGCAAATACACCGGCTTCAGGTGATTCAAAATCGATTCTTGCGCAGAGCCACGGGAGCACCCTGGTTCATGCGCAATATCGACCTACATGTCGATCTAGAATTGCCCACCATCGCGTAATTCCTGAAGTCGGCGTCGCGCCGATATTTCGATTCCGCCGCCGCGCATCCCAACCCACTTATCGTAGGTGCCGTCACCTACAGGCCCTTGCCGCTAAATATTTTCCGCCGCGATTACCGAAGACCGCGTCACGTTCTCGACTTCCCTGACGATGAGACGACTATCGCCATCGAAAGGATCAAAAACTCAAGAAACACACCAACACACACCGCACTCGCCGGCGAGTGCGGCAAACATATACTAGGTTCCGCCACGTACCTGGCAGGTTTTCCCCTATTAATGATAGAAGCGTTGCTGGAGTTTCTTCCGCCACTTCTTCTCCCAGCGCCAACGCTCTCCGAAGTGGTAGTAATGTTAGCTCTAGTAATTCCCCCAGTCAGATAATAGCTACCGATCGAGCCGAGGTCCGGCCCTCACGGGCACCCTCGAATCGGAATGCTGAGTGACAGCCCAAGCCGAGGTCCCCTCTCGGGGACCCTTGAGCCTGATCACTCCATGGAGCGCCCGCCAAAGCGCCCTAAGAGCTTGGCGGCCTCCCAAACCGGTAACAATAATAGCGTGACGGCCCGAGCCGAGGCTCCCCCGGGAGCCCTCGAGCTTAGTCACCATAACGCGTAATAATAGTACGCCGAGGTTCAGGCTAGGCGCCTCGTGCGCCAGGCCACCTCAAGTCCGTCGGATCTGTAAAGGCCCCTAAGGCCAACAGTGGCTCATCCAGCCCAAAAAAAAAAATGTGCACGAACTTGTGTGCGTGTTAGTTATGAATGATCGCGCGTAAAATAAATGAGTTGCGTTTAAATCACGCATTTTTGAGATAACATATTTTTGATAACATTATTTATGTCTAGAATTTAATAAAAAAAAATGGATACACTTAGAAAAGCCACCCAGTATACCCTGGCTAAAACCCTAACACGGGAGTGCAGAGATGTTTTTTTCGGACTCCGCTGTCTGTCTGTACGTCTGTCTCCAGGCTGTATCTCACGAACCGTGACAGTTAGACGCTTGAAATTTTCACAGATGATGTATTTCTGTTGCCGCTATAACTACTATACTAACAAAATACAATAAAAATATTTAATTAGGGCTTCCATACAACAGACACGATTTTTTTTGCTGTTTTTATAGATGGTTTAATGGTACGGAAACCTTAGTGCGCGAGGCCGACTCGCACTTGGCCGGTTTTTTGTGTAGGAAGATGGCAAGCGAGCTGGCGTTTTTATCTGATTTTAAGTCATAACCGCCGCTTATGGTCATTTGCGACTCCCGTAGTCGGTCGCAAATGCGTTGCCACCTTTAAATAAAGTGGGCAAAAGACGTATTGCCGCATAGTAAAGTCTACTTGAGAAGTGAAAACTTCGGATCCCTTCGAGGGATATCGCTCACACGGAGGAGAGGGGATAGTGAGATTATTCAAAGATAATGTGCTTATATAGAGAATGATTATCATGGCTCGGTGGTGCAGTGGCTCAGCTATTGGCATCGAGGCAGTGGCCGCGGGTTTGATTACCTCACGGGACAGATATTCGTGCAACCTACAGATAATTTCTCCAGATCTGGGTGTTTATTTCCGTGAAGAGCAGACGTCAGACAGGCGGCCGGTCGTAAAAATATCGAGATCTAGCCTATAATCGAAAAAAGAAAGAGAAGCACTATAAAACAAAGTGATGTGTGACAGAGATAACGCTGTACGAAACCGACATTTTCCGGTTGTCTCTTACCATAAGCCGATTTGCAATATTTATCGTATGCATATGTATCGTACAACATTTATTTACCTATAACGTAATATTTTTTGCACTTTCAAAATATTGAAATTTTATCTTTATTTCAGTTCCCATATTTTAATTGAGTTCTAAATAACATTCATTTTGAGAATCTTATCTCCCCCGCACTCGAATGCAGTTGTAAGAAGAATCTTCATTAGGGTAAACAAAAATATGAATTGCTAACTCAAGCTTGACGTTTATTACTCAGGCAAGTTTTTCTTCTGTAAGAACAAGTTTAACGACATCAAAACAAAGAAACGCATATTGCTAAGAAAAACAATAGAGAGATATATTTTGAGTCAGCGGGCAAATCGGAGAAAACGTTATCATGTATTCTGTCTTGCTAAAAATATGAAAGATAAATTAAATATACCAATGTATACAAATTAAGCCGACGCTGTTACCTTTTCCAATTCAGAATGGTAACAATAAATAGTTAATATATTTATTTTTAACACGCTTTTATTAGCTTAGTATGTAGGTATATATGTATGTAACGGAATTTCAAACATGATTCATAAAACTTGAACATGAAACTTTGCACACTTATCAAGGAACGATGACAATGCAATAATTTAATAGTTTGTCCCAATGCAATTGTCCTGATCAGGACATTCAAATCCGATTGAAAAATAAAAAAAAATAAAAAACACGCTTTTATACTTAGCAGAGCTAAAAATAGGAAATAAATAATAGGTTAAAAACAACTTAAAAACACGCTTTTGTAGATAACCGAAAAAAAAAATTTTGTTTTTAATTGCCAATAGTCTGATTAACAAAAAAATATTTTATTGTAAAAGATCATGGGGTGCTTTTTAAGATATTACCTTAATGACAGTACTAACAATATCTGTCATTAAAATATTATAAAAATTGACTCCAGACACCCCACAGTTTTTTACACTATTTTTTTTAAACTATTATTTATTAAGAGTGTAACTTCTTACTACCATACATATTTGTACTATATACTATTAAAATTATACTACCTATGTACTATACACTATTAAAATTATATTATTAAAAGTTAAGAACCTGCACTATTCCATTGCGAAAACTCTGAGTATAATATTTATTACACGCTGGCAATTTAACTTCTTGTTTAGTAATAAAACCTCCTTTTACGCCATGAATTTAAAAATAAAATTAAAAGGCTAATTTGGCGTTCCTTGAAAAAACTAAAAGTAAACGTCAACTGAGTAAATGATATAGGTGTTTATAAAATCATTAAAATGAAAATAGTGATGAGCAATTCTATGAAGCACTTGTTTAAGGTGCGACGTGAGTATCGAATGTTAGTTTTCCGTTAAACTTTAAAACTCTGTCGGTCTCTTCGATGCTGAGGTTTGTGTGATTTATTATTCTTGATCCTTTTTGTTACGCTTTTACATAAACAGTACCTGGAGGACCGAGCATTGCTCGTTTTTTTTGGTAAATCGTGTATTTTGGAAATAAAAAAAATAAAGTATAGAAAAGAAAGTAAAAAAAAAAGTGTGTAAATGATCGTGACACGAAACCGCGGCCTTCTGTTTGTTTTCATTCCCTGAAAACAGGGATAAAAGGACATTTTCTAAAAATTAAACCTAGCTAGATAGATTTTTCGCCCCCGAATCTACGCACATACAAAATTTCGCTTTAAGATTTTGGTAACGGGAATGGTATTATGTTAACTCATTTATCTGTGGCTATTCATACTTCAGTTGTATTTTGTTATAATTGTAAACACTTATAGGAAAGATTTGTAGTCATGACTCAGCCAGTCAAAACTCAGTGTTATTTAAGAAAATCAATGTAATATACATATGTATATGACTCCGGTTGTTAGATGACTCCGTAACGCAGTTGCCAAGGTACTGGCTTCAGCGTCGAGGGTCGTGAGTTCGATCCCCACACGGGACAACGATTTGTGTGATATACATAGTTGTTCCGCTTCTGGGTATATGTCCACATGAAATTTATGTTTGTAAAACGTCCTTTTACAACACAGGATAATGTTATCCTAAAGTAAGTAATAAATATTTAGAGTTGGTCATATATGGGCAATTTGAGTCTATAAGTTATTTAAACTATCCTTCCCAGAAAACGTATTCCACTCGCGGGCGCAAAGCGCGCGTGTGACCAGCGCGGATGACCAACAAATGGCGGGAAAAGCCACAAAAACCACGGCTGCCGAGAAGGTCTTAAGCAGCATGAATTCAGCGCCATCAAGCGTGCGGCGGATCATACTAAAGAGGTACAGGAAACCGGAGGAAGCGGAAATCAATTTGTCCAGAAGGCGCATGGCTAAGGTTGGGGCTTGCGCGCAACTGAGGACACCCACGGCCTCTGTGAGTTTCCTTACAAAGTGAAAGTCAAAATTTTTTTATTCAACATCGGCTCATTTTACGCTTTATTTTAAGCGGCACCTTTTGTCGCTTTACATCGATATTTTTAACATTCTCCAATTCAAATTCTATTATGTCCAATAGTCATAATTAAAACTTGTAAACAATAGTAATCATAAAATTTAGACTTACCTTTACGGTTTGCGAGGGTAAGAAAGAGACCTGTGCTGCGAAAGTGCTGGTACCTATATTGATGTCGTGGCGCCCCCAACAGTTCTCGACTTCGGCCTACATGTGGGAGGTAAAGGGCGACCCCTGTGGCGGCAAGCTGGGCGGCAGCACCGCGGCCAGACGCCCAGCGAAGGATGAGAAGAAAGGGCCGATGCAATCGACACCGCCCAAGTCCAGCGAAGCCGGCGCCAAAGGAGAAATCATAGCCGGTGCTAAAGTGACACGAGCTTTTTTGTTTTAGGACCCCGTTGTGACAGGGTTTTGTGGGGTTCGTACCCACGTAAAACCCCTCGGTGGCCACCTTCTGTACGTTTGGAGGGACTCCGTAATCTCCTGTGGAACGCAACTGTGTCCCTCGGTACTGCGCGTGAGCACGCCTCGGAGAAAGCCAAAACTTCCCCAATTCCCTCACCAACAGCTTCTTATCTTCGTCGACTGTTAGGATTTAGAGATGTCTATGGTTAGGTTAGCCACTGGGTCAGTTGTAGATGGCTCATGTGGTAAGTGATCTCCGCTAAAGAGTTGCGTTGCCATTTCCAGTCTTTTAGACAAACATTATATGAGAATTTGCTAAACGAAAAAGCAGTAAAGCTGATGATGAAGACGTGGGTTCGATTCCCACAGCGGCGTCAATCTTTTCGTACTTTTTCTACATGTTTTAAAGTAAAGCTGATGTTAATTTATTACCTGTGGTATGTCTGCAACTCATTTTGGTGCCAGATAGGATCAACTTTCAAAAAATAGGGCCCCGGTTACCTTACCAGACAACACGGGAAATTATAATACTTGCACTTTACGCCGGTCATATGTGAGGCCGTGGTACAGCCACCCCATTCGTACAACATTCGTCGTACTGGAATGGCTAAGTTTAAATACCATATCCAGCACTAAGCAAACTATTCATTTCGGTTCGAAAAAAAACTACACAGTAATACCGCTCACGTAAATATGCACGCTGGAGGCCTCTGTACTGAGAAAGAATACACTCAATGAAAGCCCAGTGAGCAATGTTGGCTGTAACTTCACGTTCCTATAAAAACTTCGTGGTTAATATAACCTATAGTAATGTCAAAGTCAAATATTAACACTTTATTCAATATAGAAGCATTACACATACCTATTGATAGTCAAAAAAACTCTAACGCCGGTTCGGAATGGACGGCGGACTTGGGCAGTCGCTGTGCTATTGGTTTCGGATTGACTTAAGATAGGCGGTCGTAAAAAGACCTTGTGAATACGGCAACACGATTCACATGCTGCGCCGAGTGGAGTAGTCAAAATGGAGTAGGAGGTGGAGGAGGACCTTATGGTAATGATAACGTCTCAACTAACTTAACTTGTCAAAGTTTAAAGTGGGAGGGTTACTTTGAAGAGATGTCAAACGCGTTAAATGTAAATCATCATGCAAGTTTTGGTTGCAGTCATCGGGGCCGTGGTGGACGTGCAGTTCGACAAGCACCTACCACCGATCCTAAACGCACTCGAAGTTCCCGGACGTAGTGAGTAGCCAGCAAAGTCTACTGTGTTTTGTGTGAAAGTTGCAAATGTCCTTGCGTGGCGGTCATCAGTTGAACCGCCAGCCCGTTTGCTGCCTTTTCGCATAAAAAACCCGTAGGTTTGCAGATGCGTTGCCACCTTTTAATAAATTGAGCCCCGGCTACCTTGCTCACCAGATGAAACGCAGAAGTATTACAGCACTTCACGCCGGTCTTCTGTGGGGTCGTGGAACTCACCCGGACGGCCCTGTCCATTCGTTCAACAGCGAAGAAAGTCGCGTGGCGCTGTGTGCGTGTAGATATTGGTGTGGGTGAACGTGATTGAGTCGTACCTATCATTTGTATAAGTTGTCGATTTATCCCATCCACGAGGCACCCCTCAAAGCCTTGTTTGTCGCTCAATATGAAGCTCGTGAGTTGTGCTGCGCCGGTGCAATTCGCATGTTTTTTTTTTTTATGTGAAAAGTTGTCAAACGAGCAGACGGTTCACCTGATGTTAAGTGATTACCGCCGCCGCCCTAGGATATCCTTTTGAAAATTGGGCCCCGGCCACCGCACTCAACAGACGAAACGCGAAAGTATCATACTTCCACTTTACGCCGGTCTTCTGTGAGGTCG